TTCCTTAGTTGATGGTAGTGCAGTAGAATTCCAGAAATCTGCAAAGCTTGGGACCAGAGGTTGTGCGGATTTAAAGTTTGATATTGATTTTGCATATTTGAGTTGATTTTGCAGATTTCAGGACAGAAAAGATAAAGCATAATATTCAGACTAAAAGTGCAAAATGAATAAGGCGTATTAGATACATTTAATTAAATTATTATATACATTATTGCAATAATTTATTATATGCATAAAACTATTATTACGTATATAAATTGATTATATTATTCATTGTATTACATGTACACAGCATCGAGGTTTGCCGATTTCGCCTCATGCAAAGATTTCCAGTTTTGGATTCCGGTGTTAGAATCACTATTGTTGTAAAATTTCAACAGCTTTTCTTTATTTTTCAAAATTATTTATATTTTTTTCTTTATTTGCAAAATATCATACACAATCGTGTCACAATTCCATACCATTCTGCTATAAATTGAGGAGTAGCACCTGCTTCCATCCTTTGCAGAATTTGCACTTTTTGCATTACCACCAATGCAATGTGTTTACATTTTTCAACGTTGCAAGCAGTAAAATCACAAGTGCAGTTCTTATCTGTCATTGTATTAAAAGGGGCTGAAGTTTAAAATATTCTTAGTTTATCCACAAAATACCTTGATTAAAAAAAAAGGCAGCACTAAACAATCTCGTGAAATGAAATAACAAAGCTCAGAAAATACAACATGAATTGTGAACTTGAACAAAGAGTTGAGTGAATCGTTTTCTTTTTTTACTTTGATGCAGATTAGAGGGAAAAAAACTTATTTATTTTATCGTATTTTTTTAACACTTTATGTCAATAATTTGGTATTTCCGTTTTGACTTATTATTATTCCGTAATTATGATGTCATTATTCGGTAAGGATTTTTTTCTTCGATATTTCGTACTCAATGTTGCTGTTTCCAGAACCTATAAACTGAATGTTTATATTCTGAGAGGCTACGCGGATTTCAGGAGTTGGTGGATTTTTGGTATTTGACTGTATTGCAGTTGCTAATTTTGGGAAATCCTAAGTATGCCAAAAGTTGCATTTGTCGTCACAGTGAATGAGTATTTCAGCAGAAATATTTTTAATGACCAAAATATAAGAGACATGTCCTGTTTAGCATGTCTTATCTGACTTTGCCAAGAATAAATATTAACTTGTACCTACTGTTATATGAATCAATATATGCCGGAGGATTCCCCTTACAAACTTGCTTTACTTACTATCTACGATATGATCCATGATGTTGACTATAATGTTTTATTCAGCTGTACTTCAGAGAAAGTCCTTAAGATTGTGAGAAGAGGGTGAATGAGAATTTTGAAATTACAGTCAAAAGTCGTTAATCTGGACTCGTCGGGACTTCGGCGATTCTGTATTATCGATTTTTCCGGATTATAGATCATCAGTTTAAATCTCGTAAGATGGCATGCAGAAATTCTAAAATTAAAAATATGAAACCATAATTTATGAAATAAAGAACAATTATGATCTAAAGGGTATCAAAATTTTTTAAAAAAAAAAGCTTAATATTTATTTGTTTACTTTATTAAACATTTCTTTCAATGTAAGTTGTTTAAGTTGCTTCGTTTTATGTGATAATACTTTCACTTTAATTCTATAAACAGACATAATTTCTTGTTCAGTTACAAAGTTCTGCTGTTCAAGTCCCGTAATTGCTGTGCCGAGAATACCGACTAATTTGTCAATCGAAATTTTTTCGTTTTCACTAACCTCTCTGTCACCTTCTTCATGTCTTTATCCATTTTTTTGCAGCAATTCCACTTTTTGTTTGATGGACATCAAAACATACTTCCGTTTTGTAGATCCTTTGGGAGCTCCAGCATCGGAAATTCTATTTGACATAATCGAAAGTTCAAGTTTACTTTTATAAAATTGCTCTAACAGTGTGCAAAAAATAATAAGCCGGATCTAATTAGAAGATTAAGGAACAACGCAATCATCAACATTAACTGAAATAGATAATTAGATAATTTTAGCTTACACCTCCGTTATACATAAAACGCGCACGCGAAAACATATTCTGCACTTGCGCACACGCATATGCGCAGTCGTAAAGGTCTTACGCGTACCCGTAAACACCAATGCGCATGTGTCAACGCGGTGCATGCGCAGAAAGTTTTTAGCTTTGAGGTCCGGATTATGGGTGTCCGAATTAACGACTTTTGACTGTACTAGATGAAGCAGACAGAAAAGAGGTGAGTGTTCCTCAAGCCTTTCCTGGGTGATATTAAGTTGGGACAGCAGTGTGATGCATTGTCCTGCATAAACCATGTTTTTCAGATTGAACAAATGCCATAAAAACGTTCAACAAGCACATTTTGGGAATGAGTGCACATGTCTCATAAAGGGCCTTCTGGACCATCATCAGCTTCAGCAAGGTCTATCAGGCATACTATATTAGTATGTTTCTATTAACATCATTCAGCATTAAAAAATCATCTCTGTTGTACTTTTTGATATCTTTGTTAATTGTTAAGCATATGGTATTCCTATTTTCTATAAGTTATGTTTCAGTGTTTATTATATTAGTGTCACTGGATGAAAACTGCATGATTTATATAAATGTGTAAGAACTATAAGGTACACTATGAAAAAAAAGGACAGTTCTATATCTCCCGTTACTTGGCCGATTGACGAAATTCAAACTGCATTTTTCATGTCTCGAAAGCGTGACTTGGGATATATATTAGATTTATATATAGCATTCTTCTAATATAAGTATTTTGACACAGAATCAGACTTTTTCTGAAAATTCAGTTTTTTTCCATATTTCAATTCCGAAGCAAATTATGCCTAAATATTAAATTTTGTAAAATTTGGTGAGAAATTTACGGAGAAATTCAGAAATTTATCTCCATGCACTTTTTTTTCAGTTTGCTCCAAGAATACTTCACTTGCGATTTTTTTTTAATTTATAGCAAACTATTTTCCCTTTTTTTTTTTTTTTTTTTTTTTTTTTTTTTTTTTCCCCATTGTGAACGAGAGGAAAAAGGTCTCCATTCATTATTTCAAATAATTTTAACAAAGTGAATAAACCACATTTGGTGTTATTATTGCTTATAACAAATATGCCAAATTTCAAAATGGGCCAATATTTAAATTCATGTATATCCTAGGATATTTTGAATAAAAAACTCTTAATTTTTTGCAGGTATGTTTAGAAATAAATCTATTTTTTTGAGACGAAGGTAAAAATTTTATAGATTATAATTCAAAATTCTTTTCGAAAAATGTGTAAAATATTTGGAAATACAAATTTAAAAATAAATCACCAAAAATGGGTGAATCTATTTGGAATGAAACTAAGTTTTGAATTCCGGAAGAAGGAATCAAGTAAGTTTAATAAAAAAGTAGTAATAAATAGATAGTAATAAATATATATCAAATTCAATTAGCATTGACAAGCTAAAATTTTAGAGCTAATTTTTTAAAAACTACTTGCACGTTTTTTTACCAAACTTAGCATTTTGGCATAATTTGAATAATGTATGTGAACACTTAGTATTATAAAAAGAAATTTATGTTAACACTTTTCATATTATCGGAGTTCTAAATATGTTTATACAGTACAAAGTCCGTAATCCGGACTCGTCGGGATTTCGGCGATTCCGGATTAGGGGTTTTTCCGAATTATAGATCATCAGTTTAAATCTGGTAAGATGGCATGCGGAAATTATACAATTAAAAATATGAAATCATAATTTATGAAATAAAGAGCAATTATGATCTAAAGGGTATCAAAGTTTATAAAAAAGCTTAATATTTATTTGTTTACTTTATTAAACATTTTTTCAATGTAAGTTGTTTAAGTTGCTTTGTTTTTTGTGCTAATACTTTCTCTTTGATTCTATAAACAGACATAATTTCTTATTCAGTTACAAAGTTCCACTGTTCAAGTCCTGTAATTGCTGTGTCGAGAATACCGACTAACTTGTCAATCGAAATTTTTTCGTTTTCAATAACCTCTCTGTCACTATCAGAAGTGATATTTTCTGGATCTAGAACCATACTACAGATTTAGCCATCCATTAATTGATTGATGATTGGGGCATTGTCATCGCAATGAAAAATTTCTGTTATATCATCTTCATTTATTACCACTTCTCCACATTTCTTTGCAAAATCCAATAACTGGAAAATTTCACCTTTAGTTTGCGATGTCCAAAAACCTTCAAACTCGTGGCTCTCACCTTCCTCACCATGAAATATGGTAGCTGGACATAAATTATGCCAAGCATTTTTTAAACGTATCTGGAGACACATCCTCCCAATGCGCATGCATATGCGTAAACGCATTACGTGTATTCATAAGGCATAATAAAAAAAAAAAGTTTGTGGCTTTGAGGTCCAGATTATAGATCATTCCAGATAATGGACGTCTAGATTACGGGCTTTGTACTGTATTAAGATTAATAAATTGACACCTGCAATTACTTTTTATGCAAATTTCTAAGGGAAACTTTTATGCAAGTTTATGGAAGTCCGTTTGTGGATGGTTTGTATCGGGAATTCTTAAGATATGCTGCTTTTAAAAATTTTATGATTGTTAAGTTATTGATTTGTGAATCTGAAAGACCATATGCCTGAGGATATACTACAGTCGATGCAATATTTTAAAATCCAGGCATGACATTTGATGTGTGCATTACCACATATAATTATCATTGTTCATATGTCAGAGAATACAATAATAAAAAATGAATAGTGTTCGTAATTAACTTTGAGCCATAAAGTTTATAAACAAATTAGATTTTATTTACAAATAATCAACTAGAAATGATAGTCTACTTAAAGCTCTTTGTTATTCTGCCTGCCTTAACCTGGAATTGATGTATGCCATGCTGAGAACATCAGTGTTTTCTTATATTATATTTTAAATAGTATTTTATGGCAGTAACCATTTACTTTTTTGACATATCAGTACTTTTCATTAGCTGTAATTTATTTCAGCATATCATTATTGCTGTGAAAATGATTTTGTCTTATTTAATATCTGATGTACCTAAATGGGTTAAAGTTGCAATACAGAAAGCTCAGTATGAATCCTTACAAGCTCTCAAGTTGGAGGTATGTTTTTGAGTAATCAGCTAATTTGTTTTTGTGTTTCTGCTGTAGTTATGTGCCAAAAAAAAGAAAGAAGTAGCTTTATGTGATAAACTTGCTGTAGTTATGTGCCAAAAAAAAGAAGTAACTTTATGTTAATATTTTGTAAATATCTCATATTTCATTTATGCCTATTTATTTATTTTCTTCTTGCATGGAAAATAATTGTGATTTCAAATTAGATTCAATCTGAAAGCATGTACAGTATTTTAATATTTAGTTAATATTAATACTTGTGGAGTGGTCTAATACTGATTTTTATTTAAAACAAATATCTGATGGCAAATTCTTCATTGTTTTTTTTTTTTAATCTGAGAAAGGAAACGAAATGCATAATTGCAATAATGGAATCTGTACACATCATTGCTGAGATTCTGATTATTGCGCTTTTTTCATTTAAACTTTCTAATAACAGTAACATATATTAATGAGAATCTTGAATTTTCACCTTTGAAATAATGATTAAGATTTATGCGGATGTAAATATGAATTGTGTCTGTGTGAAGTTGTGTTACTGTCTAAATGTTGAACTTTCTGTTTTCATATTATCAGAGTTCTAAATATGTTTATACTAAAATTAATAAATTGATACCTGTAATTACTTTTTATGCAAATTCCTGAGGGAAACTTTTATGCAAGTTTATGGAACTTCGTTTGTGCACTGTTTGTAGCTACATGAAAATTTATTAGTAAATGTCTATATAAATATCACATAAAAGAGAAATGAGAATTTAAAAAAAAAAAAAAATTCCTAGTTAATTGCATAACAATAATGTATGCAATATGTTGGATACTAGATTTCTGCTGTTTTGAGTCTGGGTTTAAGCAATAATTTAAAGTTCATTGATGTAGTTGTTTTGTCTCAAAATCATCAAAACAAGAAATTAGTAAAAGCAATCGAATTAAAAAAATATGCTTCAAAGTAGTGGTCCATATTAGCGCTTAAAACTACTAAGTATTTATGCAATAAACATGCATACAGACCTTCATTACTTGGGTACTGTTACTAATGTTAATAATCATGATGATGAAAAGAATATTTCTATAAATGGTTCTGTATTTTACATCCAAGAATGGCATGGCTGTGAGATTATGGTCGATATTGGGAGTTTGACTGGGGTTCGATTCCAGGTGAATGGGCTGGTTGCATGGTCGATTTTTGCAGTTTTCTACATGTGTAACATGAATACAAGCCAGTTTCTTTTAGGAAGTCCTCTATGAAGGTATCACTGCTTAGGCAGGTGGCTGTAGTGTGTTTTGCCGGATTCCATTAACCTAACCTTCAGAGTGGAAGAGCTTCTGAAATACACAAGTATTGCGTCATTACTGCTTTCGAAGAAAAACCAGTAAGAGCAAATGTATTGCATTTTGTAACAATGATGGTAATACCAATTTTGGAGAAGTATACAGGCTGTTAGAAACAATATGTTTTTGAAAAGGAAAAGTGAACTAAATGTATATCTGCTTAAAGTTGGCTGCCCTTTTCATATACTTTAGTATGCTAGAAAGGCAACTGCTGAAGTGTCAAGTGTTGATGTAGAAGATATAATCTTTAAACTATTCAAATTCCTCTTAATATCTCTGTCTATAAGAGGATTATATGAAAGAATTTTGTGAAAGTGGAGCATAAAAAATTATTGTCGCACACTAAAATCAAGATGTATTTTTATTTACGGTTGTAGAAAAGGTACTGAAATTCTATGGAGTGCTATAGGAAAGTACTGAATGCTATGGAGTGCTATTCTATGGAATATCTATAAAAGATTTAAATCTTTTTTCCTCTTGTATAAAAAAAGGCAATAAAATTTTTATTGTTCTGTGTCAGGATCTCTTGAGTGAGCCATATGTAAAATTTATGCATATTCAAGTGAGTGCATTTTTAAAGCAAATGCTTAAAAAGGCAAATAACAGTGTAATAGAAATTGTCGTAATTTTAGAGAACCCTTTTAAAGTGATACATTGGCATACGGCTTTTGCGGAAAATAATTGTTGACATCTTGACAAATTTCATAAATAAATTATCTGATGAAGTGGAAGGGTTTTGTGAGGCAGGTATAGATTATTTAAAGCAGTGAACTTTGTGAGGCAGGTATAGCTTATTTAAACTTTGTGAGGCAGGTATAGCTTATTTAAAGCAGAACAAAGCATAAAAACTACAATTAGGTGTATTGTTTCAATGCCTTTATTACCGCTACAAAACATTACTATGTTAAATTTTTTATAATTTTCTTTAATTTGGGATTGGTTAGTTATTCAAATACAGCATAGCACATGAGGGTGTCTGCTTAATGCTGTTGCGGTGGTCGTTCTAAGGGAAACTGGCTCCTATTCACATTACAAGTTGAGAAAACCATTAAAAAACCAATCATTCAGCTCACTCATTTGCATATATTCAAACTAAGGTCGAACTACTAGTTTTCAGTGGTCTTAACCTCTTGATCATGGGTGGGGCATAAATTTCGGGAGTAAAGCATGTCTTATTTTCTCACTACTACACTTGATGACAGTAATAAAATATGTGTCGTGTTTTGTCAGTAATCTAGACATGTCGGTCTTTGAACTAGTCTTCTCTGTGTAATCTTTGAGTCTACTATCAGCTAAAGTAAGATGATGGAAGTTTTTGAAGCACAACATTGTTAGTATCATAATGTATTACAATAAGTGTATAACATTCTTATTAATGACAAGTTATTGATACATTGCAACTGCGTTACTTCTACATGTCATGAATATGAAATTTGAATTTTCTGTGTTTTTTGTTTTAATAACTAATGTAATAGTTAATAATAAAAAATAGTGTAATTGAATGGGCAAAATAGCAGTAAAGGATAATTGGTCACTTCAGCTGCAGCAGATTTTAATAATTCTTGCAATGAAAGTCCTTGTTAAGTGATAGACCTAAATATATTACTAGAGCAAAATTATTTTTAAAATTTCTTGGTCATAAATACATATTTATGTTGCCTTCTCTTTTTTTTTAACAGCGCAAGAAGTTAACTAAAGATATGCTCAAGTCAATGAAGCTCAAAAGTTTTGAAAAAATCGAGTAACTGAAGAATTTTTCTTGTAAGTAGTTTAATTCTTCTAAAATTTTGCTCTAGTAATTAAAATGTTTGCACGCATTAAGTGTAGATCAAACAGTGTAAACATATTTTTGGTCTGTGTAATTTTCTGGACAGAAAGGAAATAGCTGATTTAATTTTTTTATAATATGTAATGCAAATAAAGTACTAGTTCCGTTAATCTGCACATCTTGGGATTAGGAATTTCATGGATTATAGATCATGTCATTCTGGGTTTTGTTTATATTTCTTCTCTTCTGATTTTTACATTAAATTAGGATCATTTGCACATTAGTAACTATGAAAAAAAAAAATTCTTTACAGATTGCTTCATTAAGATTTATAGAATTTGTATCTATTATTTTTTCTTAAATGCAATTATGTGCAAAGAAAATAATAGCTGGCTGTTATGTAAAAATGAATCAGAATATTGTATATAAAAGTTTTTTTATAATTATGAGCAAAATTATTTTCAAATTAATTTTTATGCTTTTAAACAGGAAAAAGTAGATTCGGAAATAAATCTACTATTTACCCAAATCCTTGTAGTAAGTTTTCCCTAAATTAAATCCCCGCACTTACCCGCCTTTACATTCCATGCATGTGTGATTGGATTATTAATATATCCAGCCAATAATAAAAAAGTGCTGGACTTGGAATTTTTTGATTTATTAACATTAGCCCATTTTTTACCAGGTTGTCCATTGTTGACAGTAGTAATAATTGTTAATCGTGCTCTGCTAATCTGCACTACACGGATTGTTGACAAAAGAGAAAAACTTGTAAAATTTTTAATAATTCTACCCCTATTCGAAACAAATATAAACAAGCTGCCTGTGTGGAATGAAAACAAACTACATATGAGGTGCATTTAAGTTGAAACTGCCTGAAAAGTTGTATTTAGCAAAATCATTTATATATATCAACTACATAAGCCCAAAATTAATATTAAAGAGCAGTGAAATTTCTGACTCAAAATAGGTATCTATCCAAACTTTAAAAAAATCTATAGGGATTCATAAGATGTATTTACTCTAAAATGAACTCAGGTGTGCATGTAGCGAATGGTAAATAACTTGTGAAAAGAAAGAAATGCTAAAAGTCAATATGTGTAAAGTATTTTTTCCTATATTTAGTGTGAATACAAGCAAGTTTCCTTATGAAATGCTCCATGAAGGCATCCCATTCTTTAAGCTGACAGTCCTAGAGAATGAATTTTAAGATGAGCTCTAGAGCTGTTTTTATGTATTAACTGATTTGCAATATTTCTTTTTCTAATGAAAGACATGATTGATAGCATGACAATTTCTGTCAGACTGATTCTTAATGACCTAAGGCTGGATTCTTGGATGTTTTCATGATTTCTTAGATGAGTAATGTGAATGCAATAAAGTTTCGCTTAGAAATTTCTCCACAAAGGCATGCCTTCCTGAGGGCAGATAGCACTAACATAGTCTGTCATAATCTATTAAACAAACTTAATGCCCTAAATCAAAGGCTACAAGGTAGGTGAATCTTAGCATTACTATATGACCTCTTATTTTGGAATATAGTCTTCTTTTGGGATCTTAAATTTCTATCTGACTAAATATTTGAAGTATTTGAATGTCCCTGATTTTGCTTTGCTCTATTTTATAGTAAATTAATATAGTAAAGCAGACAGAATTATATACAGGTTAAGACACAATAACACGCCGAATAAATACTAATTCAGAAGTCAAACAACAAAAATCAGCGTTATGTTTACAAAATTTTCACAGGACTAGTTTCGATGGTTTTACCGAACCACCATCTTCAGCTGCAAAACCGCAAATGAATGAAATTGCGGTTTTGTAGCTGAAGATGGTGGTTCGGTAAAACCATCGAAACTAGTCCTGTGAAAATTTTGTAAATATAACGCTGATTTTTGTTGTTTGACTTCTGAATTAGTATATACAGGTTATTTGAATTACATTTGTTAAAACTGCTACAGAGATCAACTTAAATTAGGAAAATTGCATGTACACTGTGCAAAAAAAAGGGGGGGCACAGTTCTATAACTCCCATTCTATTGGGCCAATTGACGAAATTCAACTTGTGTTTTTTATGTCTCAAAAGCGTGACTTAGGGTATGTATTAGATTTATATATAGCATTGTTCTAATATAAGTACTTTGACACAGAATCGAACTTTTTCTGAAATGACATGCCAATTTTTTTCCATATTTCGATTCTATGACTCAAATTATGCCAAGCTGCCAAGTTTCGCAAAAATCCCACAAGTAGTTTTTAAAATATTAGCTCTCAAAATTTTAGCCCCTCAATGTTAATTAAATTTGATATATATTTAGTAATATCTATTTTTTTTATTAAACTTACTTAATTCCTTCTTCCAAAATTTGAAATTTAGGTTCATTCCAAATAAAATTTGCTCATTTTTGATGATTTTTTTTTAAATTTGTATTTTTAAATAACGTTTATAAATTTTTTTAAAAGAATTTTGAATTATAATCTATAAAATTTTTACCTTCGTCTCAAAAAAATAGATTTATTTCTAAACATACCTGCAAAAAATTAGAGTTTTTTATTTAAAATATCCTAGCATATACGTGAATTTGCACATTGGCACATTTTGAAATTTGGCATATTTGTTATAAGCGATAATAACGCCAAATGTGGTTTACGAACTTTGTTAAAATTACTTGAAATAATGAACGAAGATTTTTTTCCGCTCATTTACAATGAAAAAAAGGAAAGGAAAATAGTTTGCTGTAAATTAAAAAGTTCACGAGCGAATTATTCTTGGTGACTAACTTGTCAATCGAATTTTTTTTTTGTTTTCAGTAACTTCTCTGTCACTTTCCTCACTATCGGTAGCAGTATTTTCTGGATCTAGAACCATGCTACAGATTTCACCATTCATTAATTGATTGATGATTGAGAAGCATTGTCATCACTATGAAAAACTCATTTTATATCATCTTCATTTATTACCGCTTCTCCACATTTCTTTACAAAATCCGTTAATTGGAAAATTTCACCTTAGTTTTGCAATATGCGAAAACTTTTAAAATTATCTGCTGTCATCATCAAATTTAGCTATCCTTCCCTATATTTGGCTATGCATTTTGAGCATGGCGACTAACGACAAGTTGTTCCGTTAAATTTTATTTTGCTTCAATCGCGCACCGAGACAATTAAGTCTGATTTATATTAGTTTAGTTATTTATTATACTTATGCCTATTTCTTGTACATGCTTAACCTTTTACATGCCAATGTTCCTTTTTTGGAACATCATGTTTAATATTTTTTAAAAATTAGACTAACTCATCTGACAATTTGAAAAAATACCGATTATTTAGAATCTATGACTGAATTTTTCGACATCAATATTTTTTAAAATTTTTTAAAAATCGGCTTTTTTTTATGATTTTTACAGTACTTAAGAAAGAAAATTCTATAAAATTCCTAAAAATTCAAATCTACCCAAACCTTTCTCCATCGTGCTTGAAAAGGACAACTTTAATGGGTAATAAAAGAAAATCAAATAATAACCAGAAATTTTTCTTCAAGACTGCGTAAAATTGCAATGTTAAAAAAAAGGAACATTGGCATGTAACAGTATACAAAAATCAGTGATATCACACATATATTTTTCTTTATTAGATTTTAAATACATTCAGTGCTCATATGTCATAAACATGCCCTTTTCTAAAGGCATTAATGGGTGTCATTTCTTTCTGTAGAAAGGAGGGGGCAGAGGACTACTAGGTGGTATGACCTTTGTCACCAAGGGTTGTGTATTTAGTTTCAGTTATATTACCCTGTTTTCAGCTCCGCTATCTCCTTGTTTCTTTTGTTAGAAATGACCACATCTGCTTCACAAGGATTTGTTTGTTTATATTAGATCTTTCGAAAAATGAAAATTTGCCTCTTTGATCAAAAGTTGTCTCTGAAGCATTATCTTTTATTGACAATCCAGAGAAACACAAAGTATTTTTCGATAACTTTTTTCATTGCACAGTCTGCTGACGGATTTGTCTAACAAAGGCTTTAAGGCAATTGACACATTATGAGCAAAAGAGATGCAAACAGCAGAACAGCAAAGGAGATGTGGAAATATCAACATGGAAAATTTGATTACCGATGCTATGGAGAAGTTTATATGTGCTGTTGGGACGACAGTTCTGTTCTAACTATTGCATCAAATTTTATCACTTACGAACCATTAGGAATATAAAAAAGATGTGTCCTATGTTAAAAAAAGAAAGTTAATGTTCTTCAACCTTACATTATAAAATTATATAATGAAGGAATGGGTGGAGTAGACCTGTCGGACAGACTTCTTGGAGTTATCGACCAAAATTTCGCAGCAAAAAATGGTACTAGAACTTATTTATCAACACATTGAATATAGTTGTGGCTGTTGCGTGGATCTTACACACTGATTTACGCAAAAACCCCACATTAGAAATGGCTCACCTGAATTTTAGAAGAGAAATTACTTTGAATTTCCTTCAAACGAAACATAAAATTCACATTATACCTGGACCGCGTACCCATCAGTCAACACCTGCAAGAAAATCAAATTTACATTATATAGTTACATCATCACAAAGGCATTGTGTAGTGTGGCACAAAAAAAAATGCTACAAACATGTATTTTGAATGAAAAAAAAATGCTGCATGTATTAAGGATTACGAAAAATGAGTGTTTTTTAGAATGTTTAATATTTTTTGTGCTACTAGTTGAAATCCCATGTGCCTTCTAAAAGATAAAATGTTTTATTTTTTTATTGGTAAGGTATTTTACATTTTGAGAATTGCATTTATTCATATTATGTAATTGTTAGTCAAGCTTGTGTAAGTGTAAGTTTGTTTTCATTGTTTCTTTATACTTTTTGCATTGCATTTCTTATAAAATAGTATGCTAATTAAAAATTATGTAAATTTTAATGAGTTTTACATAAATTTTATTAATTTCACATCAGAATAGTCGGTAAGCTATTATTGCTGCATAAAATTTTAAAATATTCATCATTCAACGCTTTGTTTTCATGAAGTGAAAGAAAAAAGAAAAGACAGAGTTACATGCCAATGTTCCAAAAATTGAACATCCGGGAAATCGTAGACAGGAATTTTTTTATGCCAGGTGTTTTTTTTTTTTTTTTTTTTTTTTTTTAACTCTTTATGGATGTATTCTAATGAGAATTTGAAGAATCAGTTGTGACTTTTATTTCTGGATCGTAATGCAGAATGTAAAAAATTAAGGCTTATCAGAGTTCTGAGTAAATAAGTTCCCACATATATTTATTGAGGGCCGGCGCTAGATATCTTATCACTCTGTGGGTCCTAAATTCTGCGACTCAGTGCGGTCATACGACCTAGGCATTGGTTTTGGATGTATGTGAATAACAAATCAGTTATACTTAATTCAAATAGCACTAAATGTAATCTTTGGGTCTATGAGTGTCATCAACAAAATCAACTTTTAGCATATGGAAAGAAATTTTGTTAAATTTTTTCCTCTTCAACATGTGTTAGCGTATTTAACTTAAATCTGTAATCATCACCAAGCGTAATGTCAACATGAAAGGTTTCCATACCCCTTTATTATTCAAATGAGTCATTACTAATGAGTCCTCATGTTTTCATAAACATGCAGTGATGAAAGGAAAGTATAATAAATAATGATTCACCAGGTTGGCATCAGATCAACAATGTATCTATGTGGAATGTTTCGGTTTGAGATGCGTGCCAAAGCAGATACACAACAATGGGGCCAAATTACTGATCGTACAAATGTATACCAAAATGATGTTTCTTCAATAACAAGGTATTTTATTTAGTTTCGACATGAAATTAAGAATTGGAGCTCTCCAGATGTTTTATTGTGCTTGCAGGGGGGAATCAAATGCACATGCACAAAGCCTATGAGAAAAACGTTGGTGGTTTTCAGGTCTGGATTTTAGATCATTCCAGATATTGGACGTCCAGATTTCAGACTTTACACTGTATTGTAATGAATTTGGCTGGTTAGCTGTCTAAGAGGTTCCTATGTGTTCCCTTATGCTGAGTACACAAATTTATATCCTTCCCATTTCTTTGTGACATTCTTTTCCATTTCATTATTGGAAAAACCATTTCCATTTGAAACTTTTCCATGTCATTATTTATTGGAGGTATAGGTAACCTCAGTGTATAGGAATATTTTGGAAGGAGTTAATGATTGAAGTAATGTTGTTATGTGCTATTTAAAGATTCTTTAACTGAAAGGCATGTCACTTGATTTATTAATTTTGGAATAAATTAAAATTTTATGAAATGACATTTTCAGCAACTTATAATTTTTTTTAATTTCTTTCACTATTTTTAATGCATGATTTTAAAAAATGTAGCTGTAATAAACATAGTGCATTATAACATAAACTATGAGAAATATTTTTAACTTAAAAAATTCTCATTAAATGTATTTAAGATTTTAATTCCTTCATCTGTGCAGGAAATAAAGTATATACATTCTGGGTGAAGATGAATATGTCAAGTGGTAACCTTTTTTGTATTGGAAAGCACATTTTTCTCTCAAGAGTACACTATGTACCATTTAAACATTTAACTTTCTGTGTAAATGCAACTTCTTCCTGTTTATATCAGAATAATGCAGTAGCTGCAGTATTTATGTCAAGAATGAGTATAATCTTAAATTTCTACCAAGATTATCAGTTTTTAATTTTTGAAAATAAACTTAGCAGCTTTTATGCATGCTGATGAAAATTCATCATTGTTTAAATATATAACTTCATTAAAATAGAGATGTCATCATTATAACTTTACTAAAATATAGATTATGTACATCTTAGTTTCATAAGTTTGATGTAAATGACATTCTAAATCAATACATTTGTAATAAGTACAGTTTTATGATTTATACATATATATTTATACTATTTCAGTGTGAAATGCAATTGCAGTGTGAAATGCAAATTTCAGTGTCTGCATTTGTATGTTGTATATATGCACAGTATTATTTTTAATTTATAAATAATTTTCTGTTTATCATGCACTTTTTAAATAATTGACCACAATTTCTGAAGTATTTTGTTCATTTCAAATTTAATAGTCTTTATAAGGTGTTCCCCCATTTTCTGTTGTATTTCCTTAGACTTAGTGCCCTCCCACTAACATAATGCTGCAGCTGAGGATGCTTCCCTCAAAAATGTAATTCTATAAATGTAAGTCATTTAACATATTTAATGTCAAAGTGCAGAATGAGGTGATAAATGTTAATGAAGCTAAAACATAAATTGTATTGTTCAGTGTAAAAGAAAATAGTATTTTAATATTCAAATAAAAACTTTCCTGTGTCCCTATTTAAGTGCCTATTTAAAAATCAATCTCTTTAAGTAAAAACAGTTATCCAGAACTCATTATCTGAATTGTTTGGTCTTCCTTTATAGCTGGTTTAAACTGAGCTTTTTATTAATTAATTTTCACATTGTTATTTATTTTTATTTATTGTTTTTTTTTAAATAATGCAAAAGGATGAAAATGTATAGTGTATATGAATGTTTGTGTGAATATATAAATCAGTATATTATGAAAGCTTAAATAACATATAATGTAAAAATTATGGGAAAATGGACTTTCAAAACTAAAATCTAGCACTAACACAACTAAGATTAATTACATTTATTAACTAGAGAGCCTTTCCCCCCAGAAAAAGCAGAGTAATATTTGCATACTCTTTCATAGTATATTTGGGTGTTGTATGTTGTATCCAACATTAGGGTGATTTATCCAATATTATTACAGTATTTTTTTTTCCTTAGGAGTTGAAATTGTGTTGGGATATTTTCTTCATCTAATTAACAATAAAACTGACTTAAATTAACTTAATTGGACTAAAATAGTAATTTCACTTCTGTTAAATTTTCCACTGAAATAGACAGGGACGGTGAAACATGATTCAGATGTTCTTAACTGCTGGTTAGTATATAGAGAAAGTCCACCTTTTTCCATGGAATCAGCAATAAGTAATTTAATTAAAAAGTATTTCTGGAATGTATCTTTAATGACAATAACTTCTCTTGTTACAGTAACTTCTACTCTGCTTTTTTCAGGGGGCTATCTCTCTAGTTATTATATATGTATATAAAGAACTGTAAGTTAGATGAATAGGAGTGGCACATTTATTGGCTAAATTAATTGTAAGCTAATAAACATGCCATGTATATTTATTTCATCTATTTCAAAAGCATATTACCATGAATCATTTGAGAAGTACATAGTTCATAAATACTATTAAAAAGCAATTACATACCAATACCATATATAAAGCTTTCAGTGTTTTGTTTTCTCTGTAAATTAAGGTGTACCAAGTTTTTTTTTTTTTTTTTTTTTTTTTTTTTTTTTAACAGAAGGAATAATTATGAAGATGCTATTAATCTAAATTTGTCTTATTATGCACAGATAAATATATATAATTTTAGATTTGTATAATTTTTGTTTAATTTTTAAGGAAAGTGTTATTTGTTTTTTAAGGATAAAATATTTATTCAAATAAATTCATGATTCTATTTAAATTAATAAAACAAAAGAAGTCCATTCTGCCGTTTGTTTAACAGAATTAGAAATATTCCAATATTTTCACTGTAGAATCTTTATTAAAGCATAATAATGGAAAAAGTTCCTTTATTTGCATTTCTGTAAATATACATTTGACCTTCTGAAGAAAGCAACTAAATTGTTATAATTTTCTGAATATTTATGAATTATGGTCAATGTTAGGGAAGTTATTTGGAATTCTCCTGTATATCTTTTGTTTTATATCTAGTATGATTAAAGTACATCAGTTTATCTTTCTTTTAGGAATTCGTAAATATTTGTTTGAGGATTTTATAAACATTTTCACTGTTTCAGAATTATATAAAAATTTAATACGGTATCAGATTAAAAAATTTCCTGTACAACAAACTTTTAACACTTTCAGTAATCTTTGCTTTATGTTTCAATCAATCACAGTATAAATTAAACACATTTTCCTTGTTTATGAGGAAAATAGTTTTGTCTTACTATAAATGAATAAGGAATAGAATTCCTGTTTCTCCTTTTATGTCTTGTGTTATTTCAATAATATTGGGATGGGAAGAATGTGTTTTGCCTATTCGTTTTTTTTTTTTTTTTTTTTTTTTTTTTTTTTTTTTTTCCTGTTATGTATTGGTAATATGCATAACAAATCGTATATTGAGTAGAGCAGGGAAAACTTTTTGCTGTGAAATTCTTTATGAATTTGAGTTGTGTAACATTTTTTTTTTTTACTCCAAAAAGTGCTTATGTATTTTTAAGCTCTTCTTTGTGGAACTGGAAAAGTAATATTTATTATCTATAGACTTTCAAAATTTAAATTAAATATTAAATCCCTAATATTAGTTGCTCATTGCTTTGACTATGCAGGCTCATTACAGTTATTTATTTTAGATTATTCTAATGATTTTGTTGTAAATATAGTTTTCATTAAACTGAAAATAGTTTTTACAATTTATTGTGCATTATTTTAATCATAACTGAAAATAACTTTTGTAATTTACTATGCATTACTTTAATCACATATTTCTTTTTACTGCATTTCCATATTACACTTCCTTTTGCTGCATTTCTATTAATTTTGATCTGGAATATGCAATACAGGTATTCTTCTGCTTTGAGAATAAATGCTTCGTGTCACTTCAGTTTTATTAAAGATTTAAATTACTGTTTTTGGTTGGTGACTTAAGTGCAAAGAGGATCTTCATTTCTGTGTAAAAAAGACCAAATCAAAATTATCATTTCACTTCTGTTACATGCAGTTATTACAAAAAAGTATGATATTAATTATGGGAAAGCATTCCTATAATTCGGGAGAGAGATAGGTCTTATGGGAAAGCATTTTCCATAAGACAGTCTTACAGAATGTTATAGTTGCCTGAGAAGAATTATATACAATACCAAAAAAAAAAAAAAAAATGTGTCTTAGTTTTAGCAATCAGGCTTACTGCCTTACTTCAAACCTTTCACATCATCCAAAGCATGTGATAATCTTAACTTTAGAACATTGAAACAAGCATGCATGAAAACTGTAGGTGTAGTGACTTGATAAACACAAGAAATATTAAGGTATTACAGTCAGTCTTCATCTTGTCTTTAATATAATGTAGACACTGCCTGCCACACCTAAATCTCCAGCTATTCAATCTAGTACACCATATGTATAGTTAACCATTTGTAAATGCTCACTTTTGTCTCTCTCTCTTTTCAGTTTTAGAAGCTGAATTTTATTATTATTATTATTATGTGGTCAGTTCTTATGATCTCATTCTTTTTTAACAGAGTTCTTTGGGGTTATTTGATAAATTATTTGCAGACTTGAAACTTTTTTTATATGAATTATTCATAATTCCTTCTTTGCTTTATACCATTTTGACTTATGAAAGGCCTTAGAGAAATGCTGAACTTACATAGAGTAAGAGAAACCTGTATTCAGTTGATATACTGTTTATGTATGTATTTTTGTGAAATGTATGCATGTTTATAATTTTAAAGGAGTGTTGAATTTTAATAAGTCATTAGTTATTGATTTCTTTTATTGTAATTCATGTAATTGTTATTTTCATATAGTGCGACTTTTTGAGATTTGAATTATTTTGTCATCCACATTTCTGTAAAATAGGCATTTTATATGAAGTAAAAAGTTCTGGATAATTTTGGTCATCTTGTACATAAATGAGAAATCTATAATCTTAGTTCAAATGGAGACTTTCACCATACTTTTCCGATTCGTTTTTAAACAATGCATAGATTTAAAATTAGGACTATTATTAATTTATAGTAAAATCAAAATTTAAATAATTTATTTTATAGAAAGTTTCTATATAATAGGGAATCTTTTTGCATAAATAGCTTCTGAAAGCAGGAAATGTCATAAGAGGCGTGCTTGTATACCTTTCTTGAAAAGAACATGTCACTGTTCATTGCTAGATGAAATTAAAATGCAACAAAAGTTTCTATTCAGCTTAACTTTCATTGGTATAGTCTTAGAGTGTGGTGCCGTCTAATATAAAGTATGCTCGTGTATTTTGTCATTTGATTTCAGCATTTCAGATACAGCATTATAGTTATAATGTTATTCAAATTTCACCATAATCAGAATTGTATTACCAAATTTTTTTTAAAGAGTAATCTAAAATTCTTTCACTTTTATTAGTAGTTTTAGTTTTTATTATTTGTACAGCAAATCTCGTCTTGAGATAATCTGCCACATCAATAGAAGGAGGATTACTTTCATTTTATTTTAAAATTATTTTGGCCATTTATGTCCCTCTTTTATTACCTAGATTCCAAGTACGATATAAACATGCCATTAAAATTTCAGATTATCATCTTTTGTTTCAAATTAAAAGTTTAATTCACAAATCTAGTATTTAGCAATAGAATATTAGAAGACAGTAATGACAAAAGCTTTTCATTTTCATCATCTTTTTTTTTTTTTTTTCCCCAGATCGTATAGTTAAAATTGAAGAGTTTCTTATTTTGCATTGATAGAATTACCTCTCTATATTCTTATTTAAAACAGCTAAAGAAATATTGTGTGGATATAAAAAATATGCTTCTTTATTGCTTCTAGTCATAGCACTTTGCATGATGATTTTCACGTATGTCTCTTACATGCATTTTTATTCTCTAGTCAACTGCAGTGTTTTAATATTGTATACATTCATATTTCTAAGTTTCTTATATGGGAGTTCACTTTCATTGTTAAGACATGCTTCTTTTTAACAATGTCATTTAGGCTTTTCTGTGTACAAAGTTAGCCTTGTATTTTAGAATTAGATTCCTTTTATGCATTGTTATCTTGCAGTATATTAATGAGCTTGTGATATAATTGATTATCTGCATCTTTATGCATTAGAAAGCATAATCCCTTATATTGCATTATAAAGCAATTTTTAGCCCAAAATTTGAGGCGGCGTCATGTGAAGTATTGCATCTGAATTAACTTGTTATTTGAAACTGGACAAATTTTTTAAACAGTAATTTTAACAGACCTCATACTAAAAGGTAAATCTCAAGCTATTTTTCTGTGATCTTGGTAATATTGATCCTAATTTTTAGCTTAAGAGGAGAACCTGTTCTTCAGTTTTCCTAAAACACATATCAGCACTAGTACCTTTTTAAGAAATATACTTATGCGTATATTTTTACTTTTAATTATGTTGAGAAATTTATGCTTCCTTTTATTTCAGAACCAATGTTTAATACTTATGTTTGCTTATTGTAATAATTTTAATTTTTACTGAACTTCATTTCTGTATTGTATGGGAACAAAAAGAAAAAAAAAATTTTTTTTGAGTTGTTTGTAAAGTCCGAGACATCATACTGTAACATTAAAGCAGTAAAATGTTGCAAGTCTGTTCAACTTGATTTTAAATTTATAATGTTCTTGCCCATTTTTTCCTTTTAGTCTTAATACATGTTAAAAATTTATTTTAATTTTTAAAAATGTTATAATTGGGAATTTTTCTTCACTTATTCCTTATTTTGTTGTCAGTTTTTGATGGAAATAATTTATTATATTTTAGTATGTGGAACGTACTGAAAATATATATTAAAATATGCATTTTTGTAACACGTATCATATTTTAATGACAATATAAATAAACCATATTTACTCATGTATGCCCTGCCCCATCTTTTTAGCTCAAGGTTCTGAAATTTTTTCTAAATATTCATGCAATTTCCCCATTCCTCAAGACGTTAAGAAGGCGAGCTTCCCTAAATTGTTGAATTGGTAAATTCACATAGTGGTTATTTTCATCTTGCTATCCAAGACAACCCTTTGCAAATACCTGGGAACGTTACGCCAAAAATTCACTTTAAAAATAATGAGTACTTGCACGAAGACTTGTTATTTTTAACAAGTGAGGCACAGGTGGCATAAGCTAAACTTCGTTGCTAAGCAATCAAACCTAGCTACATCTACGAAATTGGCATAAAGTTGTCCAAATGTTCTAAGTGATGAACTTTATGCCAGCCTGATAGAAGAGCCAGTCAAAGCGAAGCAAACTTGAGCTGATATTTGTTCGACGATTTTGCCGATTCAGCTACACATTCTTGCTGTGCAACTTTACCTACCCTGAATGCCTTAACAGTACTTAATTTAAGATCCGAAATTTGAAGTTGGAAGAAATTTCATTTGAGGTGTGTGTGTGTGCAATGAGCACAGTCTACCGCACATTTTTAGAACCATGGTGAAAGAAAATAATTGTACTACATGGAAACATTTAAATTAGAAGTTTTAAAATTCTTTGAATTATTGGTGTCAAACCTTCCAGGAGATAGTTGTTTATTAGTTTATTAGTTAGATTAGTTTGATTCGATATTGGAGAAAACAAAAAGAGGCACCCATAAAAGACAGAAAAGCGAAGAGTTTTTCAGGGATTGAAAACCTGAAGCTTCCAGGAACTGCTAGTGAGCTGTATAGTGACATGCCGAATTCCGTGGCAGAACAAAGGAAGAATGATAAAGCTGTGCCATTTGAAATGATAAAAATGAAAGCGAGGGATGAAGTGAAGAAACGTGTTTTTACAGGCCAATACTTTAAAACGAGCACTGAGTGAACCATTTGTTTCATGAGATGACCTATTTGTTTAGGAAGGAGAACAGCGCTTGTACTACAGCTACCAGAGGATTGTGGTGAAAATATGTTAAAATTTCACATGTTCGTAATCCAGCAATGGAAAGATTATGACTGCTATTTTGGCCGTCTTAGGGAATGGAAATCCAACTGTTGTATATTTTTATATGTCTCATAACATCATTCAAAAGGGGGCATTTTTTGTGTTATTAAAAACTAGAGGAGCTGAAAAAGTGCACTGCACAGTAATGTTAGCAGTGACTGTGGATATTAAAAAGTTTCCATCTTTCGCAGTTTTCAAAGGGAAGACATTATCAAGGCAAAAA